TTGTATGACAAGAAGGCTAAGGATCAACGTTTCAAGGTCTGACATAAGGTCTTGGTTCTGCTACTCACATACAACAACAAACTCACCCTGCAGTGGAAAGGGCCTTTTGAAGTGTAATAAATGGTCAACAGAATGGACAATCAAGTGAAAGTTGACGAGAAAAACCAAGATTTATCACGCCAATCTGTTGAAGAGGTAGTTTGAAAGAGAAAACCTAATTGGTGCAGCTATTGAGACACAGATGAACGTTGCAGATGTACTATCATAGATTAAGAACCAGAAGATGCTGACTTTGTCATAGAGATGAAAACTTATTGACCTAAGACTGCTAGGTGGAGATAAGATGTACAAATAAGAACTGACTGGCAAGTAGAAAAAAGAGTTACAAGACATAATGTGCAAGTATGAAGATGTCTTCACAGATAGAACAGGCAAGACAAGTCTTGTGCAACACAAGATAGACCATGATCAGGGATCCAGTGAAAGTAAAGGCCTACGAGATGCCACATGTGATGAAAGATCTAATCAAGCAAGAAGTCGGGGTAATGTTACAAGCCTGAATTACTGAGCCTTCATATTCAGCCTACTCTTCACCAGTGATAATCGTGAAGAACAGAAACGGCTCAAACTACTTCTGCATAGATTTCGGGAAGCTGAATTTCGTGACGAAGTTCGACTTCGAGGAACCCAAAAGGTGGGGAAAAATTCTTTACCAAGATCGACCTCAGAGAAGACAGCAGATGGATTCTACCAGTTCAAGAGGATGCTGTTTGGGTTAGTGAACTCAGCAGTGTCGTTCAACATCATGATGAGGAAGATGTTGGAAAAAATCATCACCAACATCAAGCATAATGTGGACAACATTCGGACCCACACCGCCAGATGGGAAGGACAACTAAAGAAACTCGGAGAGTTGTTCGGGTGAGTGAGAGCAGCAGGTCTGATCATTAAAACATCTAAGTGCTAAATCGGTTATTCTATGCTGGTCTTTGTTGGACACAAGGTGGGTGACCAACAGATAGCCATATAAAAAGAGAAGCTAACCTGTATATAAGATGCATTAGTTTTGACGACCAAGCAGCAAGTCAGATCTTTTTTGGAGTTAGTGGGAAGCTGATCCCAACTACACTGAAGTTGCTGCACCACTGATTGACGTGACGAAGAAAGGCCAACCCAACAAGGTGATGTGGAAACAACCATAGCAGATGGTATTCCAGAAGTTGGAGAAGGTGATAGGAAGTTCGCCAATTAGAATAACAGACCTTAAGAAACTGTTCATTGTTCAGGCCGATGCATCAGACGTTGGAAATGGAGAAGTACTACTGCAAGAACACGAAGAAAAACTATTTCTCATAATGTAAGTCAGAAAAACCTGTTGGTTAATGAAAAGAACTATTATGTGATTGAACGAGAGTGTATGGCCATCATATTTGCCATCCAAAAATTCCAGAACTACCTCTACGGGAAGGAGTTCATCATCCAGACGGACCATCAGACCCTTGCATACACACAGAGGTGCAAAATCAACAGTGAAAAGATCATGAGGTGGGTGCTGTACTTCCAAAACTACCGGTTCCGCATTAAGGCCATCAAGGGGACTTCAAATATTGGTGTAGACCATATAGGTAGACTTTGTGCATGAACTGAAAACACTCTTTGTATGTAGTACACACGACCTTTTTCCTTGAAGTTTAATGTGAGTGTTATGATTTAGATAGTTTAAGTATAGCGTGAGTGTTCAATTTAGTTATTTTTAGAAGTGATAGTTTATCGCAGGTTTGTTTATGTTTACAAATCATGTGTTGTGTAGCTCAATTGTTGTGAATTGGCGATTGTTGAATTATTGCATCCTGTTATCAGAACCTTCTGAATTTTTCTCGTTGTTTTAATTTTGTATTATTGCATCATAATATCAGGCTATAAATACGCATCCAAAATATAGTTCGAGTTAATTAGATAGATAGATAGATCTAGACTGCATGATTGTTAGTGTAGCCATAAAGAGCATATAGTGGCGATTTCTAAAGTGAAATTATCACAGATTGTATTGTAATAACAGAGCAGAAAATAAATAATTCGTCTTGTCAAAGTGTGTTCTAAAGTAATTGAACTAGCCTATGTGGACTTTGATGAAAAAGAGACAACTATTTAAAGCTCTGGATAAAACTGAGATAACTAGAAGTTTAACAAATATATATATATATACGTTTGACTGGTTTTAATATATTATTTTACAACAAGTGCACTGTGTGTTGTTTGCTTATTGTTGAAATCTATCGCCAACAAGTCACAGACACTTACTGCAAAGAATCGGGCCCATACATAAAAACCTGATAGAGAGAATCAGATTATTCTAGATATTACTCAGATTTGTTAGCAGCCGGGTTAAATAATACCAATAAGGAAACTGGATGTTTAGCAAGCTTATGCCAATAATGGAAAATTATATCCAATAATTTATTTCGATGTTTTGAATCACGAATCCTATAATAATGTGACGAAGATTGTGTTATTCTGGTGACTCAGACAAACTGCAGGAAAACCATATATATATTTTACTTCTTATTAGTTAAAAGAGAAAAAGAGGTTCTGTTTTCCACGTGTTAATCTATAAAGAGAGTCCTATAGGTCCGCCAGGAAACGGTTTTGAATTAATTGATGATGGTAATTATGATATTGAAATAAACAACTAAAAATGTTAAAGAGACAACTGATAACAATGATGTTATTAATATATCGCTAATGGAGGAATATGTTCTTAGTAAAACCAAAATAGATTACAAATCACTGAACAATATTCTCAATAAAGATCAAAACGGTTTATATTTACTGAAATGATTGTTATTAGTCAATGATGATTTTGATGCTGGTAAAAATATATTAAAAATGTAAAGGAACTGATAGAAGAACCTGATGCAGTCAACAAAACTATGTAGATAAAAATCTAGTAAAAGTAAAAAAATATTTGGAAATCTAAGAGACAAGTATAAGTGGATTAAAAAGAAATTCGAAAGATTCAATTGATAATAAGTAAAAATGCATTTAATAGTGAATCTTGCGAGAAAACTACAATATTTTGAAAATAATTCTTTAATAAGATTTGTTTTTTGAAGTTAAGCACAAAGATACACAATTGGCTATCCGTGCTCTGCCAACCACGAGTATCGAAACCCGGTTTTTAGCATTGTAAGTCCGCCACTAGAGGAACTTTAATAGTAAACAATACCAAAAATAAAGGAATTATGAATGTTTGGTGATACTTTTGCAGAAAACGAAGTTGCCACTAAATCTTATGTGGATAATGTAAGTAGAAAGGTAACATTTTATGACATTGGCCTTTTAGTTAATAACAACATTTTTATTAATAGAATGATTACCTCTGATTTCATAGATACAGATATGGTGCTCAAAGAAGACGTGTATTTGAAAATTAGGATTTCAAACACGAAAGTTAAGTGTTTTTTTAAGTTAAAAATTGGAGAAAAGAAATTAATGAAAATACTTATTCATCAAAGCTTATTTTTAATGCTTATAAAATGCAAAGATTGGGCTAATTCCAACGACTAATAATCCACTCGAGGAATCTACTGTATATTTTGATATACAAAAGTTTATAGAAATACCTCCAAAAAATGATGAAGGATTGCCAGATACTTTCATTTTACCTAAGAATAACTTGTAACAATGTTTGTGTTTTTAACCATATCTATTAATACTTATGTGCATTTTCACTAATTGTTAATTCACTGATGTTCTATAATGTTTAGATTTTCAACTATTCTGATTAATTATTTTTTGGGTATCAGAAAAAGTAGAATGAATTTCAAAACTCGAGCATTTTCGAATACTTGATTAACCTCTTGAACAGTAATACTTTGGGGTCTTTCTTTTGAAATTTATTGCACATTTAGTGTATGATCCTGTGTACTAACTCTATTATCAGAAAAAATAGAAGAGGATAATGCACTCAATGTTGTCTATAAAAAAGAGAATTATTCTTTGTGCATTATTTTGCGGTGATGACTCATAGCTACAGTAAATCCTTTAATGTAATTAATTTGATACTTGTCTCATCTTATAAGTACCCTGCTTTATTAAATTATATATCATCAGAGAAACAATTCAGCTCAATCGTTATTATATTTTCACTATCTTCTAAAGGTTTCTTCAAAATCCCTATAGCTTAGATACCTGCATGTGGCGCCATCTGTTAATTGCTCTATAGAGTTTATGGAGGTTAAACTATTTAAGAAAAATAAAACGTGGTTTCTTTTGATACCATGAACAGCCTTATGTATAAAGAATATTATTTACTACGTTATTCATCTATATTTTTTCACTGTGGGTAATTCCTTTAACTTAGGTAACATAAAAGAAAAATAAAGTCAAAATAACCAAACCCCAGACAATTATCATATAGCAATATACATGTTACGTGTTTGAAGAACTTCAATAATGAAATAGAGTTCAAAAGTGATAGTTTACATCCAACAATAAGTGATTAATTTCTATTTATATTTAAGAAAGTAAAGATAAAAGTTATAGCTCATTAATAAATGAAAAGTCAACCCTTTTGATTCGGCTTTGATCTCTTGTTAAACGCATATGTATTTATTGAAATCATGTAGCTAAAATTTGAGAGCTTAATGTAGAACAAAATGAATAATCATAGAATATCGACCAGTGTAAAACATAAGAATTTTAAGTCAATTATGATAATTGTATTTCTAAACATTAGAATGTATCGTTTCATCAGTTGGGAACCTTCGTTGTTAAGGATATTTTTGGCCGTAAACCCAATAACATCTCACAAAGTTTGGCCAACATAGGATATTTAGAATTATTTTCAAATAATCACTAGTTTTTGAAATATTGTAAACTGACTGTAGTTGCGAGTTCATTTTCGAAGAGAACAAAAACTTATATTGCTCCAGATAACTTATTCAACTCAAAGAAGAGATTCGTATGAGGAGATAAAACTAAAGAAAGATTTTCTCAAGTAGCTTTTGAAACGTTTTTATTTTCCAAATATATGGAACAGATCCTCAACTTAATAGCTTCAAAATGAAGAACATCTAATAATGCGTATTCAATTACTACTACTACTTACATATTTCTATCAATATATCAAAAGAACAAATGTGGCATATACATGTTTACTTTGTCTTAAGCAAATAATGCGTGATAGGTGTCTCCACTTTCTCCTATAACTAAGACTATAGTAATGTAGGTTTGGGCACGTGATCTGTTTTTCAATACATTCTCATTTAGGTTTAGCAGATTGATACATTGGATCAGGTTTTATTTGCCTTTACCTAAGCAACTAAGTAATGTCTTAAAACGAATCACTATAATCTTACTGGTGAAAGATCAAACAATGATGCTATGGTTCAGAAAGAAAAGCATAAAATGAATATATATAGTTGGAGATCTTAAAAAATGAGGCAGTTTTACAACTTAAACATCTGAATAATATTAAGGTATATTTCTATTTATTTATATATTTAAACGTTTACATTGCTAAATCTGCGAGACTTATGAAATGACGCCAATTTATAAAAATTGCAGTCTTGCATTGAAAATATTTTTATAACCTTGTTAATATGAGACAAACAAAGAGCTATACTAACCCTAAAGACATAACGTAGTTCTATGATCATTCATAAGCTTCTGCTTGGGACTCGTATATAAAAGAACATCAAAAAGGTCAACATATCTATGTTATTTTTGATAAATAAAAATAGTGGCAGTAAATTTTTCGAATCACATACAGTTAGTTAAAACAAAGAGCTCTTACACACACACACATACAATTCTGTCAAGGTCTTCCCAGAGTACAGTTCCATATTCTTGCTGAGATGGCGTTGTAGAAAAAGTAGCAGGTGGCTGCATTATTGTTGAAAGATATCTCAGGAACTTTGAATTCTGGATTAATTGATACCTAAATGAAAGAAGGAAAAATCATCCAATGGTTAAATAAGATACCAGTAGTTTTTAAACAATAATAGACTTTATCATTTCCGCTGAAGGATCAACAAACAATGATATGTTTTACTGGTTACACTGAGGGATCAACAAACAATAATATTTTTACTGGTTACGCTGAAAGTGTTACAAAAACAATGATATTTTCCATTTACACTCAGGCGTCAACAAACAATAATATTTTTACTGGTTACACTGATAGTGTTACAACAACAATGATATTTACCAGTTATACTGAAAAGGTAAAAAAAAAACAATATAAAGTTTTACTGATTACAATGAAGGAGTCAACAAAGAACGATATCTTTTACCAGTTTTATTGAAGGGACAATATTCAATAGCATATTTTATCAGTAATTCTGCTGGAATTATTAAATAATAATAAGTTTTACCGATAACACTGAAGACGATCTCAAAATGAGGTTTTTAGTGCTTACACGTAGGGAATCAACAGACACTGTTATACTGAAAGGATCACAAAAATTTGTATGTGACGAAGCATGGCATTTAGTTACAATATATGTGTGATATAGAGTATCACAATAAATTGATAATAATTTATATACCACCATTCTTTATTTCCTTAACACGGGTTTCCAGTAAGAAAAATGCTTATTGTATGGTTGAAATACCCATGTACACTCTTCTATGGCAGTGAAAAACGATGTCATTTAGACTATTATATATTACTACTAAACAATATTCTGCCGGATGTTATATATTGCCTTTCTCATTTTAATAGTTATCATTCGTTAAATGCAATACCAAGGCTATTTACGAATAGTGAAATATTTTTCCGGGTGGGTTAGCGGTAAGTTTACGGACTTACCACGCTAAATTCCGAAGTTCGATTCCCTGAGGTGGACAGAGCACGGATATCTCATTGTGTATCTTTGCGCTAAAACAACAATAGAAGATACCAAAGTTTTTACCATCAATGGGCGCTAATGTCTCAGGAAAATAAAAGATAGCAGGCCTAGTGACAATAGGCCTACAGACCATCCCTCCACCTCCGCTTACGGCCCAATCCGCCATTATATACCAATTTATTTATTTAATATTACTTTTTGTCATTTTTATCTGATCCGATAACTGACAATGTTTATCCACATGAGTATACATACATATATATCTACACATCTGAGTGTTCAGATTCTGGTCTTATTAACAAAAGCAATGTAAATTCGATGACGAGGAACACAATTTGAGACTAATAATGGCCTGAGACGGCTTCAATGGGTAATGAAGAAAAACTTTAATATAACATTTGCTGTTATATTAAAGTTTTTCTTCATTACCCATTCAAGCCGTCTCCAGCCATTAAAAGCAATGTAAGTATAAATTGGGGTACCTGGTTTTAAAATGTTTTCTGTTTTTCTATTCTGGTTTTTGAAATTATGAGTTTGTTTAGGCAAAGTATATCACTCCAATTAAATTATGACAAACTGTACTAGGAAAATTTAATTGAATCACAGCGATGTTTGAAATTAGGTTTACATAGTTCTCAAGAGATGGCGATAAAGTGCAAATCCACCTCGGGTTATAGGGTATATATAATCATTCGTAATTTCAAAAATAGGCTTTTACGCTAAACTAGATTTTCTTGAGAAATTATATATTTATAACAAAACTGTTATTAAATAAAAGGTAAATATCTAAATGGAAAAACAATTATCATAAGTCGAAATGGCGTATTTAAGTGTTTTACACTCACAAAAAAAAAAGA